CTTCTCATTGGAAATAGTTTAATCCCTTTTATATTAATTTATAACAGTTTAACATAATTTAAACACTTTTCATAGTAACGTTATATTAGAGGATATACTTGTTATAATAATAATATTTGTACTGGGTTACCTAATTCATATGTTTTAATTCTGGAAACACTTTATAATCAAGCAATTATTTTATTGAGTAATTTTGATATAAATTATTTTAATTCGATAATAAATTTAGAATATAATAGAACTCTTTAATTTATGACTTTACTCAAACTATTCCAAATTATGGTAATTTAAATAATACTGGCAATTCTATTTATTAGAATGGGGTTTTGATGCATTAATTTCATTAGGAATTTATTAAAATTAAAGTTAATTCATTGTTGGAGTTTATTATTTGAATAATCTCTTCGGTTAAAATTAATTAGAACCCATCTTAATGTAAGGTTACTTTTTTACTACAATATCTGATTTTTGCAATTATCATAAATTAAATATACAGTGTATGATTTAACAAATAATATTAGATTTTCATTTTTATAAAAGATTAATAAATATTTATTCAAATTTGACAATTATTTTATTTATTATTAACTTGTTTTAACTAACAGAATGGTACTTCCCTTTATATTTTGAACTAATCCATATATACTTACCCAATAAGTACAAATGATTATTTTTACTTTTCTTTACTTGGAATGTAACCTGTCTTTTGAATAGGAAAACATAAAACAACATTACATTAATATAATTGTTCCAATAGATTTTCAAGTGGTAATTATCAGATTACTTTCTGCCATCCTTCATTAGAAAAATTAAGTAAAAAATAGATATATGCTCTGATTATAATTATCACATTATTTTTGTTATATTTTTACATTAAGTCCACAACAAAGAATTTAGGTTATCTTAAATCAGAAATTGAATTATGATATATATTATTTATGAATTACATACAATCATTTAAATTTACTTATCTTCAATCCTCTGACCAAAGTATTTGCAGTGACAACATAAAAAATCTTGAAGAAGACTAACGTGATAATAATTAGAATGTAAAAATGGATGTGCAATTTATACAAAAAAGGGAAATTGGATGAATTA